TCCATATTTTCTGCTTTACATGTGGTTTCCTACTTATAACTCTACATGGCTCTCTTCCTAACAGTGGGTCTGATAATGAAGCTTTTGCTCAAGTTGGGACCAAAACTGGTTTCTCCTTAATGTAAGAAAGCAGTAAGTTCTTGTTGACTACAGCAGGGTACTGTAAAATCTGGGAATTTAAATAGTAAATGCAAGAAATATGTTGAACTCTATCTCCTAAATTTGCCCACTTAACCCCTCCCTTTTCTATTGGTGGTTTCCTGATCCAAAATTTCAGAGAAACTATTAGTCTTACAGGGGTAATGAATAGAACTATCATTTGTTAGCACTACTCTGTGCCAAGCACTGGATTATGTATTTTACATACATTCCTTATTTAATTTTCACAAGTATGCAAAGCAACAGTTATCCCCATATTATATAAGGATATTAAATTAATAAATAGGTGAACCAAGATTCAAGCTCAGGTTTTACTAACTCAAAAAGCCATGAGTTCTTTGCACTAGACTACTTTGCAAAAGATAGAGCTTCATTCTCACATTCTTGACTATTGATTTCCTTTGTATTTCTATGAAGTATTTTTAAAGTGTACATAAGATGGAGTTTATATTATCTTTTACATTAAGAGCATTTTAGTTCTTTCTATAATCTCAAATTTGAAATGCTTTTAATTTTATCTTTATCTTTGAAAAAATAATAAAAGGATCTCCATAAATTACATGTATCATCTTTGGTTATAATGGCATATTCATGTGCATACTGCATTACTTTCAAAGCAGTTAGCAGTACAATTATAGTCAAAGAACTTTAAATTTGGTAGCGACTTTAAAGATAAAACACATATTTAGTTGAAGAACCATTCTGATCATGAAGATGTTTATAGGGTATGACCTCCCAACTATCTCTACTGCCACTCCAGAGCTGAACAACTTTTTAGGGTGTGTCTTCCTTATGACAAATTAAAATCACCCTTTCTATAATTTAAACTCATTCTCTTTAGGTCAGGCTTTCAAGGAGATAAGGCTCTCTCTAACGTACCTGTCATTTTGCTACTTTATTGATTCTTGCTGAAAGTTTTAACAAAAAAAAAAAAAAAAAGAGGGAGAGAAATACAAATAAATTTGAAAATGGATTTTAAGTTTTGTATCCTCCTTTCCCCAGACTAAATAAGGAACTTCCACAGCTTGAATCTTTCCTCACTCCTGTCAATATTCATTTTTGCTGCCTTTTTCAGTACCTCTCTATGTGTAGAACTGTGGAAAAAATAATTCAACATTATTAGAGTGTTTACTTTAGCACTCTAAGAGCTCAATGACTAGTCTAAGAAAAATAATACTCCAGAGTCGTCCTCATTTTTAAAAGTGCAAAACTACTGACACATATTCAATTCATAAAACACTATGATTTGAGTTTAAATGATTAGTCTTAAATTTGTGTGATTAACTTTTAACCATTATTAAAGTTCATGATGTTTTCATTGGACCATTGATGGGGTTTATTTTCTATTGGCAGGTAAGTAATTTTATAGATTTTCACAACATAATTAGGATGAAATGCATACTTAGTGAAAATATATTTTAGAATCCATTATCATCAAAGACTCTAGAATTCTTTATGTTAAAGGATCCATTCCTTCACACTATTACCATCACTCATAAATGCTACTATAACCTAGAATTTTCAAAGCTCTATACATATACAGTAACTTATGGAAATTACTTTTTAAGAACCACAGTACTTAACTACCAGGCTTAAGATTATAAAATTCAAGCACTATTTTAAGTGGTATAAAAATGATGCTTATGAATGTTACTTTGTGAGCAAGACATATATTTAATGTGCAGTTTATATTTCCATTTTCATAATATTTTTTATATTTTAAATATTATACTACTATTTAAAAACTAACTGTCATTGGCCCTGGTAAAAAGCTGGTATCTTGTATATCCTGTGTACTATGATAACTCAGTAAATATTAGTTGAAAAGTCTAACCCTTGTCTCTAAATCCACAAGGCCAGCAGGGAAAGGTTTTCCTTGATGGTCACTTTTAGCAGAATGCAAGAATGAAAACAGAGGCATAGCTTGCCACTCTAATTTACAGTCTTTGCAAAAATGAAAGCAGTATAGCTCTGAAACCCTATCTTCTAATGAAATACTACTGGAGCCCCAAAGGAAAAACCACAAAAGGGACCTGCTCTGCAGGCCAACATTCCCAAGGTGGCTCCTAAAGAACTTTTTTGATTGAAAAATAAAATTTGAATTACTGAATCATTTGAATATAATTACTAATAGAGTGGATAACACAACTAGAGTAAGTCACAAGATCTAGGTTCACATGCTAGATCTTCCATTTATTAGCTCTGTAACCTTCAAAAGTTTTTCTTAGCCTCATTGGGTCTCAGGTTTGTCCATCCATATTATGGAGACAGTCCCTACCCTGTAACTGACAAGTTGGGAAAAGTTAAATAAGATGCTAAACACACAAAAGAACTTTGTAAGGTGATCTACTATGTAAATGTAAAGTATATTATAATTATGTCCTATATGCTATACAATATGTAAAAACAAACATTTTTCCTTCCCTATCACTCCCTTTTACAAGTCAACTACTTTATTTCACATATAACAAAGAATTTTAATGCTATGAAAATGAAAGGTCCAAATATCAGATTAAAAGAAAAAAAGTGGGAAGAATAGACATAGAATAGTTCTCTATTGCTTCTTGGGATAATTTAAGGTTAGCTAATCTCTCATTATTTTCCCAAGGGACAGACTCCGCCAACACATCATTTGGTTTTTACTTTAAACTTTCTCTAAACTGTTTTTAATAAACATTTGTAAGCACTTTTTTTTTATCCTCACCTGAGTACTTTTTTTTTTTTTTTTTTGCATTTATCTTCAGATAGAGGGGGATGAAGAGAGGAAGAGAGAGAGAAACATTGATGTGAGAGAGACACATCAAGTGGTCGCCACCCACACAACCCCAACCCGGGCCCGGGACAAACTGCAACGAAGGTTACGTGCCCTTTGCGGAAACTGAACTCAGGACTGTCCGGTCCGCAGGCTGATACCCTAACCACTGAGCCAAACCAGCCAGGGCTGTAAGCACTTTTAAGAGAACTACACTATGGAAACTCTTTTCTCCAGGTCCATACAAGCTTTCACAATTATAAGGTTCATACCTAAATACTGAATAATAAGGAAAAAGAATGTCACATTCATTTGTTTGATACAGACAATTCAAATGGTTTAAGAAATATGATGAAGTTGCAAGATTTCCTGGAAAACTATTTGAGAGAGTTGGTACTACATCCCTTTAAATATACCTTGATAAAGATTATTATTGCTACTAAGTTATAACTTCTGTACCTAAATGCATCAATTTGTTATAAATCATGTTACAAAAGTCTAAGACACAAAACTATTCAATTTATCTTTCTTGCAACCTCATATCAAAAAAGAAATTGGAAAACACATCGGAGAATATTTTGGGTACCCTTTGGAGGACTTTTATAAAACCAGTTTTGAAATGGAGGATATGGCTCCAGTTAATTTTTCTTGAGTCTTGGTTAAGTTTCTTAACAGATCATATATTTATCTTCTCATAGAAGCTAAAAACTGAAGAAATGTTAAAATAGCAATGTTTTATCATCTTAAGTGAGCTAACAATTTCATTTCAACTATGTGAAAAGGTTAGAAAGTAATGTGGGTGCAAATATAATCTCAAAGACCAAAGAATAACAGTTTATAGGAACTTAGAATCAATGCCTATCCCTCTGATGCTCCTTCCACAACCCACCCCACCCCCTCTTTTCACCTTTCTTAAGGCCTCTCTTTAAAGTACTGTTGTAATGGAAGCGGAAGTTCACACACCAAACCCCTGCACCTTCCTATATAACCAACCCATTATTGAGTAGAACAATTATGACATCAGCACTATGTTAGCCAATTATTCCACCAAATAATTAATATCCAATGATCCCCAATGCTACTATGTCATTGGCTGGATTTCATAAGGATAGTTGCTATATTTTACTATCTTTAATTTGAATTTATTCTGATAGAGGATTGATGTTTGGTAATCTTGAAACAGCTGTGGAAATGCATATAGCACATACACTTAAACTGAGTGCCATTTCAGAATGCCAACAAGCATCATGGGTACCAAAGAGATGGGGGAAACTAACAACGGGTTTTATGGTTCTTTTCTCATTAAACAAACCTGAGTAGTGCCTAGAAATTTCCCATTATAGGAGCCTCGGTGCTCTTTCTCACTATTTCCCTATAAACTATGTGTGCTAGCCACTACTTTTCAATGCAGCATGCCTTTAATCCTACTTGTGGCAGGTTAGGGAGGCAGGTAGGCAGGAGGAATTCTCTTGTGGTTTCTACAGCCCCACAGAAAGCTAAGCTAGTCAAAGCTTTTAAAAATAGTAACTGTAACCACATAACAAAGTGAAGAACACTCTATACAATTTTGTTTTAAAAATATATAATTACATGCCCTGGCCGGTTTTGCGCAGTGGTTAGAGTGTTGGCCTGTGGACCAGAGAGTCCAGGATTTGGTTCCCATTAAGGGCACGTACCTTGGTTGTGGTTTGTCCCCGGCTCCGGTTGGGGTCGTGTAGGTGACAACCGGTCAATGTGTCTCTCTCACATTGATGTTTCTCTCTTTGTCTTCCTCCCCCCTCCCTCCCTCCCGCTCTATCTGAAGATAAATGCAAAAATGTCCTCGGGTGAGGATAAAAATATATATATACATATATATATACACATATACACACACACACACACACACACACACACACAACTACTAAAAGAAAGTAAAGTTCCTCACAATATTAACTACTACCAACCATCAGGAAAGGAAAACCTATTTCAAAATCATATATATATAATATTGAAAAATTTAAACATAAGATCCTATCTTTGACATATTAAAACATTCCATTTTGCATATATGTAGTTCATAATTTATAGAGAACATGTGATCAATTACCTCATATTCTTTCCATGAGCCAAACTCAATGTATTCTCTACCATAAAATGCCAGAATGACCAAGTGGCCTAAAATAGTAAAAGCAAGAAGAATTAGGTAAACATTAAAAATAAATTCTTTAATATATAGAAGCTTTGTGATTAAATTATTTAGTTTATGAATAAATATTGTGATTTAACTGAATTATTTTTTATTTTTCAATTAGAGTTGACACACAATATTATATTAGTTTCAGGTGTAAAACATACTGATTAGATATTTATACAACTTATGAAGTGATCACCCTAATAAGTCTAGTATTGATCTGATACTATAACTAAATTAAAGTATTTCTTTACATGACTGTATTTTCAAAATGTTCCCACTTAGCCAAAAATATATATATACTGTTTTGGTTTTATAGGAAAAAGAGAACTTTCATTTTTGAAAGAATTAGAATTCAAAGAATAAGCATACTATTTTAATAATCAGGAAAAATATAAGTTAGGGAAAATAATAGAGAATGATTCTTTAAAAATATCTGTACTTTTAAATTGTAAAGATGAGAGATCAAACAATTCTGAGAATCAGCCTGATAATTTCCTGTATAGAGAGAGGTAAAAGTAAGAATGGTTTAGCCCTGGCCGGTTTGGGTCAGCGGTTAGAGCGTCGGCCTGCGGTACAGAGAGACTCAGGTTCGGTTCCCGCTAAGGGCATGCACCTCGGTTGCAGTTTGTCCCCAGCCCTGGTTGGTCGTGCGGGTGGCAGCCACTCGATGTGTCCCTTCACATCGATGTTTCTCTCTCTCTCTCTCTCTTCCTCTCTCTCCCTCCCGCTCTATCTGAACAAAAAATGGAAAAATGTCCTCGGGTGAGGATAAAAAAAAAAAAAAAAGAATGGTTTAGCAACTAACACACCTTTGCTCATTCCTGGATTTGTTTCTTAAACATAAACAAGCAAAAATGCATAAACAGGTCACAAAGCTCAGGATACTAATAAGACATGCATAACTATTAAAGTTTATGAAATTTTAAAAAGAGTCTGGTTCAGGAAGAAACAGGCAAGTTTATTTTAAGCTAATGATTTTTTTTAGTTAATAAAGTAAGTTTAGGGTAACACTTTTATACAAACAGGTACTTAGGTGTATTTGTTTATATATGTTATCTTTCTTGCTCTAAATTTTGTCCATAATATCAAAAATCAATTTAGTAGAGTATATCTGATCTTTTAGACAACTATAAACAGCATCATAGGTGCCTGGCATGATTTAGTTTTGTTTTTCTTTTTTTCTTTAAAGGTAAAGAAGACATTAAGCAACAGTTGCCATAAATTTTTATGTTGGTCCATTAAACTTAGAAAAATAACAAAGCAAACAGGTACAGCTGAGTATATATAAATAAGCGACAGTCTAAATACACATATTTGGGGTTACTTGAACAAGACAAGGAGCAGTAAAATAATCACAGGTGTTTGCTGTGTATTTAGGTGATTACAAATAAGATACAGCAAAAATGCAATAATATACACTAATTAACACACCAGATTTCTCAAAAAGAACCTGGCAATTTTAATACTATTATCAGATTTTCCTCTTACTTTAGTTATGAAATACTGTATATTTTCTGACATGAGGTATTATTGTACACATTTATTATAAACTAAATGAGTAAACAATACTTCAGAACTTTGAGCAAAATGACTATGAATTATACATACCCGTTTCTAAGATAATTCTACCTACTCCTTGAACTCTAATTCTTTTTTCCAACTAAGCTCCCCTATATCTAACTTGTTACTTGAATACCAAGTTAGAAAATTCAAGCTAATCTACAATTATCTGCATCTTCTACTCCTCTCCAAACAGGTTACAAGTAATGCATTCTCCTTGAACACATCTTTCACCACCTCATCCTGATATTATAAGACAATAGTTCAAGATCTCTTTTCTTGAATTATTACAAGTTCCTTAGCCACCATACCAGTTCACTGGTGATACAAATTTGTCTTTGCAACTTATCCCTTTAAAATCCAATTCATTTCTTAAAGCTTGTTCTTATATTATTAAAATATTCATTTAAGAATTGCAACTATGTTAGGTACCGCACATACAAATATTAAATATACATGGTCTAAACTCACAAGTAGCTCACACACTACCATGCCAATCACAGCAAGATGGCCACTCCCTTAAAGCTCCACTTTGGACCAATGAGAATTTATTTTCCTTGTTTCTTCCTATATTCTACAATGACTTTCTTCTCACATCTCTGGCACAACTATCCAAAATATCTTCATCTTGCCCTTCAACATTAATTGAATCATTACAATGTGCTTGGCAATATGCTGTAAGTTGATTAGGTGCTGGAGGATATAACGGTAAACAATGCATAGTTATTTTGCATTCAGGTCCCACCTCATCTGCTCCCACATATTGTCCTAACTTTCTCAGTGGCTTTATAATTTTCCTGGAAACTAGTGATCTTTTACTTTTCACTCTCGTTTTCTCAGACCTCACAACTAATAATAAACAAATCCTCTTGATTTGGTACTCATGTCAGATGATCCCTTCCAACACCACTCTGAGACCCAAGCAGAAGGGGCCATTGCCCAGGGCCTTGCACTTTAAAGGACCCACGATGACCCACTGGCCAGGTACTTCCTCATGAAGTGAAAAGTCTGCACAGCCCAGGGCCATGCTCTCTGATTCCTCTGTAATCTACCTCAGCAGACTCCCAGGACCCTGAATTTCCATGCAGAGCCCTGGACTATCAATCCGAGTAGATGGAGATGTAGGCATACCCACCACTAGGCCTGAGTAGTAGTCAAAAGATAGCTTATAAGAGATGGGGCAAGCCTGCTTGTGGAGTGAGCATATGGACATGCTATGGTAAAAATAAAACCTAGGCTATGGGGAAAGGGAGGTAGACTGCAGGACAGCGATGAGGTGACAGAAGGCCATTCTCCCTTTGCCACTATGTTCTACAACAGAACTGAAAAATCTGAGAATCCTAAATGGTCATCCATCACTTTATAAAGCTGCACTTGTCAAATTAAGAGGCAAGAGCATATTTGAACAGTTAGTTGATTTGCAGCATTTAAGTATGAAGAATATGTTTCCATTTGTATTCTTTATCTCCATTAGTGTTAGGGATAGGCCTGGTTTCCATATCCTATTTCTACTGAAGGTTCCCAGCTCCAATCTTCATTATAATCTATCAAATAATGATATAATAGTAGCAGCAGCCATAGTAGTAAAAGTAGCATTGATAATACCTCTTACTGAAGGTCCTAGCATAGAACCAAGCATCTAATCTAGTCTAAACTCTTTCATACCCCTTTTGTTATTTATAAACGCACTGGCTAGTTACGTACATCTTATCTATAAAGGGAAAGGAACACAGTGGCAAGAGAATTCTAACCTTGGTCTTTCTGAATTAAAAGCCTAGGTTCTTTACCCTATATTTCCTTTCCGATGACTTAGAGAGGTTTACCTGGCTTTTGATCCACTCCCAGCCAATTTTCACAGATCTGCCAAATTAATCTCCTGAAAGCATCACTTTCATCTTCACACTTGATCCAGTTTAAAAATATACACTGCCTGGTTATGCTCTACCCAGCTAAGTTTCAAATCCTTAGCCTGATTTTCTTTCCACTACATCTGCTTCATTATTTCTCAACAAAATCTTCACTCTTCACACCAAAATCTATTTCTAGCATGTCTTAACCCTTTCCTCTCAGCCATTACACACCTCTCAACCTTCAAGATCTCTCTCATGCAGTACCTCCTCCCTGAAGACTTCTCTAACTACTCGAGCCCAGAATCTTTCTCCCCCTATTTTTCTATATTCTCATAATACTAATAGTTTCTAACCATTCAACAAGTAATTAAGCTATGTACTTAGCATGGCAAGTAGCACAAAGTATATGACATACCTTCTGACTGGAAATCACTTGCAGTGGTTCTCAACACTCCTGATGCCGCAACCCTTTAATACAGTTCATGTTGTGGTGACCCCAACTATAAAATTATTTTCGTTGCTACTTCATAATTGTAATTTTGCTACTGCTACATCTTAGGCGACCCCTGTGAAAGGGTCATTTGACCTCCAAAGGGGTCGCAACCCACAGGTTGAGAACTGTTGCTTTATGGACTTAATCTGGTTGGAATGCAGTATAGGGAGACTGGTAAAGTGGCTCTACAGACAGAGCGCCGGGCTGAAACCCTGCCTGATTATACAGTAGCACACACTTGACTGTTAAATCTGCACAGTAAACTAATTAGCAGATGGTCTTTCATAATAAGTTTCTCTGGTCCTGGAACCCATTTAGATCTTTTTTTTTTTTTTTTTTTAAATCCTCACCCCAGGATATTTTTTCATTGATTTTTAAGTAGAGTGGGAGGGAGAGAGAGAGAGAAACATCCATTGGTTGCCTCACGACCCCCGACTGGGGCTGGGGATCAAACCACAGGTACATGCCCTTGACTAGGAATCGAACCTGCAACCGTTTGGTCTGCGAGCAGATGCTCTAACCACTGAGCAAAACTGGCCAGGGCCGCACTTAAATATTAATTTTGAGAACCCCAAGGAACTCTTCTTTATGTGAATCGCATCTAGTCATGCACTGGTGTTTAACAGCCAGCTCTCACTCTTCCCCCTACCATAAAGCTAGACTTGTAGTTTCTCCGCATTCCCATAGTGTAAATACTCTCAACATGGCTAGTTTCAAGCTAGCATGTCATGTCTAAATGTAGAGTTAAGAAGAGATGAGCAACATTGGCTCTCTTGAGTTGGCAACAACAAGCTATATAGTACATGCATTACTATAGTTATGTCTGTCCATGTTAATCATAGAAAATAAATATACTAAATATTAATTTTAAAGTGACATTAATAAAACCAATGCCTATTAACATAAACATGTTTTATGAAATATATCTAAAGTTTTCAAAACAAAAGAGATTTAATGAGAAGAATGGCATGGTTTTCAATCTTTATAAACTTGCGTAGTGTCTTGCTTGCCTTTTCACATCTACATCTGCATTCAACCTGCTGTTATGGTTGAAGTTAATGAAAAAATGCATCCTCGTGGATTTTTAGTTGAAAAAGTTGGAACCTCCGGGAGCTGCAGACCACAGAGGTCCTCCATTCACATTTTGAACAGCATTCATATACAGTACACAGTTTCCATAAAAGACTCTGATGTGAAAAGATCTTAACATTAGTGAGAGTTTGGACTAGTTTGATAGTTTTTCTCACCTAGCAATTATCTCAATATAAAGAATTCCAAATTTAGACTGCACTGAATAGAAAGCTTATACTATTTCATATGTGTGTCTATACATATATATGTATATAAACATGTATTGATACATACTATACTTCCCCAATTCAACAATTCAAAATGCTAAGGATAGTAAGGAAGATAACTATAAAGTTAAAACTTCATTTTTAGAAGAAAATATTCTATGCAGAGAGATTACTTATGAAGTTAATGTATAAGTCTTCATTGAGCTGGACATAATATTCAATTAAGTTAAAAAGTACAATTATGTTCTACATTTTTATAAGTGGCAGTTACACTGTGTGTACAAGATGAGTTACATATTCAGAGTAACATATTCATTGATGTCAAAAAAAGCTTTTATCAGAAGAGAATATTTTGTTTAATTCTGAAATTTAAAACTTCCTAATTTAATGTTTTTGGCAATATTTAATCCATTGAAATTATATCATTGAACAGTTGAACAATATAAATATATATCTTACTCAAAAAAATCATTATTTTAGAACTTGCAAAACTACTGTTAAGAGCTAGTAGTTTTATCAGAAAAACTGTATCTGTGTAACATTAAGTACTAATTTCCCTTGGCTCTAAGTATCACTGTAGCTTGGGGTTCTTCTCACTGTTAAACTATAAAGGCAACATCAAGCACATTCTGTACCTCCTCTTTTCCTTAAACTCAGGTTGGTATTACCTTCTTCCAAAAATAGAAATAGGATAGCCATTGCCTAAACCACTTTAATCCCACGAGCTACTTCAAACCATTATATTTCAAACCACCTCTACTCTTTTGTAAACATCTATTTATGAAATTAAATGCCTTTATGGCTCCTTTAACAACAGAATATAAAAATTTAAACTAGTCCTGGCCGGTTTTGCTCAGTGGTTAGAGCATCGGCCTGTGGTCCAGAGACCTGGGTTCAGTTCCCACTAAGGGCATGTACCTCGGTTGCAGTTTGTCCCCAGACCTGGTTGGTCGTGCGGGTGGCAGGCACTCGATGTGTCCCTTTCACGTCTATGTTTCTCTCTCTCTCTCTTTCTCTCTCTCCCTCCCACTCTATCTGAACAAAAAAATGGAAAATGTCCTCGAGTGAGGATAAAAAAAGAAGAATTTAAACTGTATTTTGTAAATCAATGGCAAGCATGTTGAACACTGTTTAAGGGGTAGGACAAGAAGTACCAAAGGTAATCATATTTTCATGTGACTCCACTATTGGCCTTACTTCTCAGCAGAGGCTACTGCTGTTCATTTTCCGTTCTTTTATATCAACAATGTAAAGTGCTAACACATGACACTTTGCTCACTTCGGCTGTTCAGTTTACACAGAAGAAAAATGTGGAGAAAAGCTAAATGTTTAGATAATATAAAGCTCACTGTACATATTTACTAAAATAAATTAATTTTCCCTATTCTTTAAATTCTGCCTTTTGTACCAGTTTCAGGTTATGAATGTATCTGAATTAATCTCTTTTTCATGGCTATGTGGCAAATACATACTAAAAAGTACACAACAGAAATGTTGACAAAGTTATAGCACAATATTACACTTTTAGAAATTATCACCAACAATTTTACTGTCACAGTGTAGGACTGTACATTTTAATACTTTTTTTCTTTTTTATCTGTTTACTGCTTATTTTTCCTATTAATTATTGTTCTTGTAATCTTTAAAAAAAAAATCATGCCCAAAGATTTGAACCTGTAAAGAGGGTCACTTCATAAAAGTTTACTCAAAAGAATTCCTACAATGACTAACACTGAAATGACTTAACAAAATATATAGTGCTTAATATCCGTCTTTGAAAATAATTGTTTCTGATTATATCCAATTCCATGTTACTATTTTCAGCTGCCATCCCCTCCTGCAAAACCCTCCTCAGATCCTCCTACCACAAATAAACTAGAAAGGCAGTAATCACAAAATTCACTACCAGTTTGAGTGCTAAATCTAGGCTGCCATTCTAAGTTTTCTATGAACTTATCTCACTTTATCTTTTACCTTTTCATTTTATAACCCAAAGGAGTAAGTAATATCCCCATATTTACATAAAACATCTGAGATCAAAGTAGTTCAGGAATTAGTTTAAGGATAATTAGCAATCAAATGACAAAGCCAGGATTTTAACTCAGATTTTATTAAAAAAACAGGACCTCACATCTTCTCCTAACAATTTTGCCAGCTGACAGACCTCATTCAATCAGATAGTGGTTTTTTGTTGTTGTTGTTATTGTTGTTGTTGTTGTTGTTTTTTCAAGCTAAAGACATAAGCAGTCACAGATATTTGTCTATGTGGACTTAGCATGAGTGTCTCACATAGCATAGTTTGGGTCTTTGTGGAAATTTTATAGTACCACATAACTACTACCACAGACTTCTGTTAATATTGTGACATTTCTGAAAAAAAAATCTATATTCAAGATTTGTTGAGGGAAGTAATCTTCCCACAAATCTGCTTCATACTGACCCTGTGTTTGTGTCTTCAAGAGTGAACTGTGATTTCATACTCATAGTCTGAACTATAGTACATATCCATGCCCCATGATATAGAAGACAGGGACATGGTCATGAAATGTTACACTGTGTAGTAGGTCAGGCTACTTAATTGCTAAACTACAATCCAGAATAACTGAGAGGCAGGACTGTTCTATAAAATGCTATACCTTCATTATGTAAAATACACATGGAACAAAGTAAGTAACAGTAAAACTTCAGAAATATCACTAATGGTTAGTAACAAAAGCTGCATAAACTTTTCTCTAGAAAAGCAGACAATTCAATGTGGTGCAAGTGATACCTAAATTCAAGTATTAAACTCACTGTGGCTCTACTGGATCATTAAGAGAAAAAGAATATCACAAATATTTCAGAAATTGATCATATAGTGATAAACTTCCTAAAGTTTTAGTTCTGTCTTGTAAAAATAGTATTTACAGTGAAGTAGAATAATTTATCAGACAGCAGGAGAAAGCTTCTCTGTGGTGCCATGCAGATCCCTGGATCTATGACACCTCTTTATAAGATCCTATAATAGGAAGCTACTATAATATTAGGTGGGTGTATTAAAATATCCCAATAGGAAGATGCCACTGTAGGTGCCCTATTACAGAAAGGCAAAAGAGCATGCCACGTAATCACCAATAAACATCTCTAAAGTAAATTGATTGTTTAAAAAAAGTTTATACTATACCATTTACTTGTCTTATGCTGTGCACTTGCTTAAAGAGGTTGATTTTACCTTTAGGTGTGTCTTTTCTAATCTGTTTCGGGCAGCTGTCAAGTAATCAGAGTAAGCAGTGTCATTTTAATAAGGAAGTCTTTTAATAAAATATAATGGGTCACAAATATCTAGTTTCTGCTCTTTACTGTAATTACCAGTCTTTACTATAACTGCCACTTTAACAATCTTTTCCAAATGCTGACACAAAAGATGAACAAATCAAGGGTATTAGCATGTGTGTATATTTACAGCTTATTGCTGTCAAAGGCTGTAGTTCCACTCCCTACTCCAGCAGCTACATGAGGATCTGTTTCTTTTGATGGAGGCATCCTGTTTCAGGTTATGAATGTATCTGAATTAATCTCTTTTTCATGGCTATGTGGCAAATACATACTAAAAAGTACACAACAGAAATGTTGACAAAGTTATATTACACTTTTAGAAATTATTACCAACACGTTTACTCTCACAGTGTAGGATGGTACATCTTAATACTTTTTTCTTTTTTTTCCAATAAATTAGTTATTAGTTCATAATTTCAAAAACATTGCTTATATATAGGTCATATGGCATGTTTTCTTAGATAAGTTTTAAGTTTATTAAAAGCATTAGTTTTATATGCACATCCACTTAAATTGTGTACATAAAAGTGTAAGAGTTGCTGCCAAATTAAAATAAATGAAGGACCCCAATAAAAAACACAAATAGTATGATTTTTATTTTTAAAAAGCACATTCATTATCATTATTTTGCTACAGTTCAATTTTAAGGTTATAAATCTTTTTAGAAATTCCCTGAAAACTTCTTTACATGATAATCCTTTTACCTTTTTGATGTTTTATTTTAAATATGTTTTTAACCAGTAGATTTTTAAAATTTGGTATTACTATTGCACAAACAGTACTGGTTTTATAAAAAAGTTTGCCCATTTTTGAAATGCTAAGCTTTCCCAATTCAAACTAGCTTACTGTGAAAAGAAAACCATGACAACTGTTTGTACCTCTTGCTTTATTATTACATCCGGCCTGGTCACTCTTAGAAATTCAATCTATTATGGTTGCTAGGAGTCTGTTGCTGTGCAACCTAGAAGGGTATGCTGTGCTTTCAGGCTAAGGAGTGCTAATAAACCTGTATGCTTCCCTCTTTGGGTATGGTCTGACCAGTGTGCTTAAAGGGCTTAATACTTTTCAAGAGTGATTGCAGACACATCCTATTAAAAACAAGTCACACTGAGAGATTTCTAACAAAGGAACAAAATGCTAAACATACACAAATATTCAAAATGTATTCTCAGAATCCCGAACTAATTTGGTAAAACAAACAAAGAACAGATTATGATTTATATTTCAATTATATCACCTACCACCCCCAAGTTTTTATTTCCATATAAACCCATAAACAGTTATAATGGATATAAATGACCTCAAAAAGTTTTTTGGGGGGCAGAGGCAGGTAGTACCTTCAGCTTTGATTTCATATATATCAGATTATATAAATTTCAATAATAGAAAATTAAGTTTAATCTAGGAACCCACAAGTCATGAATTTTGCAAAACTAAAAGGCACTCCCTCTACACACACACACACACACACACACACACACACACACACATCTTTGAAAATCTGAAGAAATTCTAAATTTCATTTTATTATAAAAGATGATTTTTTTCTTTTTATACTTTATATATTAATTCTAAAAGCTATTCTATCCTATCATATGCATATTTTCTATAACTTTACAGATTAACACTCAATAAGTTACATAAATTCACTACCACTAGATAGCACTGAATGTAAATAAAAGTAGAGGTTATCAATAAAATGCTGATAAACAAATTGTGTGAAACAGAACTTAAAAAGTGGGCAGAGGATATGAGAAGAATTCTACATTTTTTAAATGAAGAAATTGTATTGACTTTCATTCCCTTATGTATATAGGTCTTTCTCATAAAGTATTTGAAGACAAAAATGATAAAGCTGGTCTACCATAAAATACCAAAGGTCACATAGATAAATAAAAATAATATATAATTTTACAATAATCATCAGGTTGGTTTTTTTTTTCTGAGTTTATCTGAGCCAAACCGAGGACATATGCCAGAGAGCAAGCTTTCACATGCTCCTCAATAATCATCTTAACTATGAAAATCTATCCGTAACTTTCCAAGGATCTTTTGACTATACTAATACTGCCTGCAGTTTTAGAAAGTTAAAAATATTTTTTTGTAAATGACAGGCAAGATTTTCTCTTTATTCATGGCAACATTTAGCCCTTCTATCTAACTACTCAGAGATGGTAGCACTTTCTAAAAGAACCTGTCAACTACACTACCTCTTTCCTTTTTAAGAGTCATGTATATCTGGTTTTCAATGGTTGTTTTATTTCTTCTTCTCATTGCACACTATAGAAAGCAGAGTAATGGAAATTAACTATTTCTCTAAAAGTACCAAGAAACAGCAAACAGAAGAATGCAGAATAACTACCTAAAAAAGACAAAGAATCCAATACTAAAGGAGCGCTGAAGCAGGCTGAGAGGTGCACTATCGGACCAAAGAACCGACTGAGGCAGGAGGAGAATGGGTTGGCTAAGAAGTTTAGAATGGAAAAAGCCTATGCCAAGCAATAACAAGCAGAACAGACCACAGCAAATGCGAGAAAAGGGACAGGAAGGATGATAAAGAGAGACAAGAATGTGTTAGAGAATAATTGAAAAAAAAATTTGCAGAAAGAAATGATTCTTTTTACAAATGAGGAAGAGCATAGAAAACAAATACAACATTTTTATATTCAATAATTATATTTTGGTCCATCCTTATTTCTTAAGAAGGTATACAACTGAGAAAACATTCTTAAAAGATGCAATGATATCAGTAACATTTATGATGTAAAAACCAAGTAAGCAGTAAAGAAGAGTTAACTGAATTTGATAATGAAATAATTTGAATACTTTCCAATTCTCACTTAGGATTAAGGAGAATTTAACTTAAGCCTATAGGTATAGGATCTAATATATAAATTTTTTTTTTTTTTTTTTTTACCCTCACCCGAGGACATTTTTCCATTTTTTTGTTCAGATAGAGCGGGAGGGAGAGAGAGGAAGAGAGAGAGAGAGAAACATCAATGTGAAGGGACACATCAAGTGGCTGCCACCCGCATGGCCAACCAGGGCCAGGGACAAACTGCAACCGAGGTACGCGCCCTTAGCGGGAACCGAACCCACGTCTCTCAGTACCGCAGGCCGACGCTGCAACCGCTGCGCCAAACCGGCCAGGGCTAAAATTTTTTTTTTTTAGGTAATGAAATTCAGTGTTTTCTAAACAAGAAAAAAACATTAAAACACACTATACCAATACACGCACATTAGTCAATAAAGTTATTATTAAAGTCAGATTCTAAATACAGTATACCATTCACAGAGGTGTGTTAGGTAAATCTGTTAACTTTTAAAGCAGTTATTTAATAGTTGATCAATTACTAGTCAAGTGTAGTAAATAATGCTGGAAGACTCTGAGCTGAAATAAAGTTCTAAACTGGCTACATTAATACTTTGCATCCTGTCAGGCACTATTAATTAAAGGGCAATGTGGCAAAAATAAGAAAATTTTTTTTTTAATAGAGATAGAAATCCCATAGTGGAAGTGTTGTTGGAAAGAGCCTTCTGGTGTTTGTTATGAAGCTGCAATAATTATACAGTGTGGCATACTGAGAATAACATATTCATCCGTGGAATTAAGTCTCTTTTTCGCACATTCCAATTTTCTTGGATTTGCAACACCTCATATTTGATTCATTTCAAAATACCCATTTTCAAATAAAATTAAAAATCAAATATCCTCAATAAATGTTGCTGAATATAATTGAATTGTTTTCTTTTTAATTTCATAAATTTTTATCAGGAAGTATAGATTCTTTGCTAATTTACATAATTAGGGTTGGTAACAAATGATTTACAGGTTAGAAGTCTTTTTAGTAGTCCCATCTTACCAATTATAAAGAAAAATCATTACGAAAGCCATAAATAAAACATTATTTCTCCTTTCTGCTGAAGGAGTATTTCCCCAAATACTTTTCAAATTTTTTCTATAATTTGTTTAGCCACAATCAAAGGATATTGAATGTACAAAGGAAGAGGTTGGGTTATTTTTTTAGTATTAAACTTTATAAAAGGGATGTTATACAAACAGCTGATTAGAAGTTATATTAGTTAAAAACATTTTAAAACATCTTAAAACCCACTTTCACTTTTTAAGTACTACTACTCACTTTTATACATTTAAAATTTTGAATAAAAGCATTGGATCAATTGATTTTTTAAATTGGTAACTGAGGATGCTGAAAAAGGTATCTTCAAATATTTTCTATAAATCCAAGGGATAATTTCAGTTGTATTATTTTATAAATGCCAAAACCTCAAAGATACATATTTCACTTTTTTTGGTGAAATCAAATACATAAAAATCTTTAGAACACATAAAAGAAATAAACCACATTAATACAAAGATAAACATTACTTTCTCAGAGAGCACTTAGCAAAGTGTCTTTCTAGAATCTGTACTTAATTTAGATTATATTTAATTCCAACTCAAAGTCTGAGAATAGAGATATTCAAGTTCACATCAAATTATTAAATGATTGTCTGGAAACTAACGTTTATTCTCTTCAAGATTTTTTTCATCCGTGCCTCCATCCACAGAAGAGAACACACAGGCTGGCAAAGCAGAGCAATGGTGGCATCTGAGTGCTAAGCCTGACTCAGCTGTTTTGAGTCTCTTTCCACGGGTAAAAAGTGAAGAGTTAAGGGATATGGTTGAAATAAAATTAACCATGAGATGATAACTATTAAAGCAGAGTGATGGATACATAGGAATTCATTTCATTATTTCATCACACTGCTCTATTTTTATGTTTAAATTTTTTTCTTAATAAAAAGGGGAAAAAAATAAGAGAGTAGACTTGCTCTGCTGTCTTTTATAGCTCACATACTTTCCCATAAACATGGTGGTGGTACAAACAAGTGGTGATACTAAATTAGGCTTCTGTCATTTTCAATTT